CCCAAAACCCCAAAACCCCAAAACCCCAAAACCCCAAAACCCCTTCTTCCTACATCATAAGTGAAGATAAATTAAATAAATTAAGACATTAGGTATGAAGATGATATTGAGAAGCATCACTCAGTATCATCTCAACTTAGTTTCCCCGGTAGTAGCTTATTTCAGCCAGTCAAGTGATTGGCTTTTTGAAAGAATCATCCTTTAATAATGGAGGAATCCCGGGTTTAAGTGGTCAGCTGAAACTTCCAGAAGGAAAGTTCCGTTTTAAGTCTAGAACATCTTCCTTTGGGACTTCATCTCATTCCTCCTCAATCTCACTCTCTAGATCAAGTTCTATCTCATTGATAGAATAAATCGCTTCAGGAACAGCTTTGGCCTTATTTTGGATTACACTAATCTCCTTAGACTCACTCGAACGATTATATTTGCTTTCACCAACCATGCTAGACTTTGAAGAGCTTCGAAGTCCAAAGCTCATCTGAGCAGTTTCTTTAAAGTCGACTTTTTCCTTCTCATAAGCTTCAGTGGAAGCACCAATAGAATAATCCTTGACGATCCTTTTCCCAGTTGGGGGTTTCAGCTTTGCTAATCTGTTCTCCCTAGGAGTAGACACTGCTGTCTGGACATTAAGAACGCTCTTGCTTGAGCTAAACGTGCACACGTGTTTATCAGGGCTTAAATTTCCGAATCCAGTCCCGAATGATTTCCTAAAAGAAAGATTAATAATTGTTCATTAGATTTCTTGTAATTACAGAACGTGGGTTTACCTATCTTCAGAGCTATCAGTTGGTCTTGCATCTGGCATGTAAAAACTTTCAGGCTCTTCTACAGTGATCATCGGGTGACTTTGAAGGAAGGCCAGATCGTTCCTGTTCAAGAAGATTAGATCAGAAATTTCAAACATAATTAATAATGAACGTTTCCGAAAAGTCCTTTCGATTTGAATTATATAGTTCCAATTTTGGCATGCATTTTTAGAATTTTTGTTACAATCATGTTTTTTGAAAATCCGAAAATTAATAGACAAAGCTGTATAGCAACCGAGTAATTGTTATAAACAAATCATACACTAACCTTATTATGATTAATCCTAATTAATGCTACCAAACTTGTTGGTGAAGCAGTCTACCAATTACGGCAAGCTAAAATCTCAAAATTGTTATTATAAATCCATGAATTATTCTTAATTTCCGAAAGTCTCTCAGATAAATCATGAATTTTATGACGAAATAATCGCCTTTTATGAACATATTTTTGGTAAAAATCTGGGTTTATTGTAGCTTTCGAATTAACATTAATACTACAAAAATTGGAAAATAAGAAGAGTAAATTTTTAACTAAAATTTATTCAATTTCTAAAGATCCAATTAAATTTAGAAACAAAGCTGGCTTTGGCATTAGAGCCTTAGTAGATAACTTTGAATTCAACCGATTCTGAATATTTGTAATTTATATCTCAATGGCTTACCTCCTATCTTCCTGGTCAGCTTCGTCATGAATCCCAAAGGATTGCTGATGTGTGATACTTGCAAAAGCATTATAACTCTTTCCTATAATTTATAGTTAAGCAAAGCATAAAGTTACTATTCTTACCATGGAATCCGATGATCTCATCTCCAGAGTTAACATTTGAGCTGAACAGTTGTAAGACTTTCCGATGACCGCTGATTTCATGAAATAGCCGAGAAATTTGAGAATATTTTCCCAACTCTGCTAGGGAAAAGTAAGATCAGAGTGTTAAAACAATCTTCTTGTGAAACCTATCTGGTCTATTTAAGCAAAATGCAAGTGACGCTCTTCTTCTGTAATTTTATAATATTTCTGGAGGGTCCCCGCTCTGGTTTGCTAACTTTATGAGCAGATGTGCAGCATCCCATTTCTTTTTGAATCAAATACTATAATTATTGTTCTGAAGGGGTTTTGGGGTTTTGGGGTTTTGGGGTTTTGGGGTTTTGGGG